ATTGGGGGGGGGGTTCAGTAGGGGGCACTCTCCCCTCCCAGGCAGGGCTGGCCCCGATGCCCCAGGGCAGCGCTAGGGGGCGCTGTGCAGCAGGGATTGGGGGGGGGGTTCAGTAGGGGGCACTCTCCCCTCCCAGGCAGGGCTGGCCCCGATGCCCCAGGGCAGCGCTAGGGGGCGCTGTGCAGCAGGGATTGGGGTGGGGGTTCAGTAGGGGGCACTCTCCCCTCCCAGGCAGGGCTGGCCCCGATGCCATCTTCCAGCAGAGACGAACACCGCAGACCTGTCCTCCCGTGGCCACGCTGTGAAAAGTCCAGGTATTTACTCACGCGCTCAGCTGGGAGAACCACATTCATCCTCCCAAATCCCCCGGCAGCTTCCCTGGACTTCAGTTCCTACCCAGCCCTGCAAGGTTCATAGCACAGCCCCCTGGCTCCTGTCCAGAAGTGGCCACCTTTCCGGGCTGGACAAACCCCCCCTCTTGATACCACACGCATTGGGTCATGTTTGTGGCGCCCCACAAGGGATGTAAAATCTTGTTCCACCTCCATTGCGAGCTGGGATTTCCCCGGCAGCTGCACCCAGAACTCAACCTGCTCCCAAACCCCAGCACGCTGCTAAAGGAGAATCCCCATCGGCTGTCAGCAGTATAGGGCTTATGACACCCAGGTGAGCAGTTCCGATTCCACCCAGCAGAGGGCAGCGGCCAGCCACGGGTGCTCACACATACACACTTCCCAGCAGGGGGCAGTCGTATCTACACACACGCATGCACACACACACACACAGACCCCTGCCTGGCCAGGGGTCGGTCCAGACTCCCATCCTCACCTGCACCCGGGACTCAGGCAGGTTGATCTTGAGCGCTACCTCCTCCCGCATGAAGATGTCGGGGTAGCGGGTCTTCGCGAAAAGTGCCTCCAGAATGTCCAACTGGGCCCGCGTGAAAGTCGTCCGCTCGCGCCGCTGCTTCCGCGGGGTGGCTGCGGGGGGGAGGGGGGAGATGGTTACACCCGCTGTCCTCAGGGTGGGACGGACCAGCCGAGGGGGTTGTCCCCGAAGGGGGGAGCTGGGGAAGCAGCAAGAAGCGCTCCCCCCACGCATCTGTCTCTCCCTGCCCTTCAGCGACCACCCCTCTCCAGGGCACAGTGGGGGGTGGGGGCAGGCATCTTGTGCCACTACATTACCGTAATACATCTAATAAATAACATACAGTGCCTCGTGCTAGGAGGGTCCTGGGCCGCAACTGGGGCACTACCGTAATACACCTAATAAATTGCGTACAGCGCCTAGCGCCAGGGGGCCTGGCCCGTGACTGAGATGCTACCGTAATACACCTAATAAATAATATGCAGCGCCTAGTGCCAGGGGGCCTGGCCTGTAACTGAGGTGCTACCGTAATACACCTAATAAATAATGTACAGTGCCTAGCACCGCGGGGCCTGGCCTGCGACTAGGGTGCTACCGTAATACACCTAATAAATAATGTACAGTGCCTAGCACCAGGGGGGCCTGGCCCGCGACTAGGGTGCTACTGTAATACACCTAATAAATAATGTACAGTGCCTAGCACCGCGGGGCCTGGCCTGCGACTGGGGCGCTACCGTAATACACCTAACAAATAATATACAGCACCTAGCGCCGGGGAGCCTGGCCCGTGACTGGGGCGCTACTCTAATACACCTAATAAATAATGTACAGCGCCTGGCGCCAGGGGGCCTGGCCCACGACTGGGGTGCTGAGGTGCTACCGTAATACACTACCAAATAATTATAATCATTCAGGCCTGGGATTTCTGGGCCACTCCACAGCTCAGAGCAATTTGTTACCAGCGAAAGAGACCTTGGCTAAGGCAAAGCCATTGGTAGCTCGGAAGGCAGGAGAGTCTAGTGGTTAGACCACCAGACTCAGGATCAGTGACCTTGGCGAAACTGGGCCATCGTCGCTCTGTGCCTCAGTTTCCCACTGTGTGAAAATCAGATCTCTTTTAGGAGCCTCAGGTTTGGTCCGTCTACTCCCAAGTCACTTTTGAAACTCACGCCCGTGTGGCCACGCATCGCACGTGACGCACACCCAGACTGCTCGGGGTGCGTGTGCATTGGGACGCGTGGTCGAGATTAGAGGAACCCTGCACTAGGTCACACGTTTGCTCAGCATTTCTCCTGCGTCCCTGCTTAGAGCCGGGAGATCCTATAGCTGGGTCCGGTTCAAAGCCGGAATCCAGAAATCCCCCGCAATGTTGGGCCAAGCTTGGATCTGAACTTTCTCGCCGGCATCATCTCTGAGAAACACATTCAGCGTCTCAGTTTGCAGCTTGTCTGCACCCGGGCACCGCTGAGTGTAACACACCAGGGAACCGGAATGAGAGCCGTTCGCACCCGCATCGCACGAAGCCGGCTTGACCCTCGCCAAATTGTAATTAGCTTTAGGAAAACCAAATAAATATGCACATTCATGTCCAAATCATTGCAATTTATTTATTGCTAGCTAGTAAATCTGCTGTGACAAGTGATATTAACAAGGATCACTTGTCACAGCAGACTTACTCAGCCCTGCCAAGCCTGGGGACAAATTAAGTCCTATGGCTTAGAAAAGCCCCTGGTGGCCGCATGTGGCCATGGCAGCCGCATTTGAGAAACACTGCGAGTCTACACCCATGAAGCGTGGAATTGTCTAACACGTCTGCACGCTAGCTGCATCTGGTAGCTCAAACAGGGTTCGTCTTATGTAAGGGAAAGAGATCCTATTCTAACCCCAAAGGGTCTCAGAACCACCAACCCGAAACATTCAAAAATCATGGGGCAGGTTCCCCCAAAACCATGAGATTGACTTAAAAACCATGAGATTTTAGGGGGGGAAATAATAAACGTTGGGTTCTTTTTATTTGCCTTCTGCTTTTCCAGCCTTCATGATTTCCAATGAAACCTCTAAAACTTTTAGGACTTTAATTAATATATCAATAAAAAAAATAAAATTAATAAGAGGATATTTAATCAATATGATTCCATTAATATTTCTAAACCTTTACAGCTTTAATTAATATACTTTTAATAAAATAAATTGAAATTAATCGCATTCTGATTAAAAGGCTCAACTTTTTAGGGGGGATAATTAATATAGAATTAATAAAATAATGGTTTAATTAATATCATGCTGATTAAACTTCCCAAACATTTGGGGCTTTTGTATATTAATATTCAAATAACAAATAAAATGATATTGTAATTAATAACATTCTGATTCAACTTCGAAAACTTCTAGGGCTTTTTTATGCTTTTGTATTTCTTGTGACAATATTGTACGTTAGGTGAAGGGAGAGGAATCTTTCAAAATGTGAGGACATTTTGAGCAACAAAAACCAGGAACAAAATGAATTTACAGTTCTGACAAAAACAATCCAAGCCGCGTTTGCCAGAAGTACAAAGCGCATCGCAAAGGTGTTAAAACCCTTGCCTTGATGTTGAATCAAAAGCAAATAAAAGGAAAGAGAAGGGCTTCTTTTTAAAAAGGGGTTGAATTTTCTAAACTTTTCCTCTTCCAAAAATGTTTGCCAACACTTTATCCAATTGTTTTAGAGAAGGGTCCAACTCTGCGAGGTTCAGTGAATGCTCACTTCCACGGCCTAAATTCTAGCTTCAGTGAAGCTGTGAAGATTTACCCGTAAGATCTGACTGCAGGATTGGGGCCCTGTTCGGATCAGTTGCGTATATCTGGATTTTACACGAGTTTTGAACTGAGAATACCACACACCAGGGGTTCTCAACGTTGCTCTTTCTGAGGCCCCCTAACATGCTATAAAAACTCCACAGCTCAGCTGTGCCACAAGAACTGTTTTTCTGCATATAAAAGCCAGAGCCAGCGTTCAGGAGTAGTAGCAGGACACTTGTCCAGGGTCCCACGCCACAGGGGGCACTGAGAAGTTGTTCAATCTTTGGCTTCAGCCATGGGTGATGGGGCGTGGGGCTCCGGGCTGCAATTCTGCACAGCGGGGCTTTGGCTTTCTGCCCTGGGCCCTAGTGAGTCGAATGCCAGTCATGCTTGGTGGACCCACTGAAACCTGCCCGCAGCCCCCCACGGGGCCCCGGACCCCTGGTTGAGAATCACCCCGCACACCACTACGGCCTCGTTGCTGGTTTGAGAAGACGGTAGATTTACTAAGATCCATTTAACGTTTAGATTGTGTTCTCTTCCAATCCCACAATTCACTGTAGAGATTCGTTTTTCTCTTGGTACGTTCGGACACTGAACTGGGCGTCAGTTCTCTTTGATGTTCACATTTGGAGTCCCTACCTTTGCCTTCAACTCTCTACCGCTCTTTAGATATTTAGATATTTTGTTTCCTCCGATCAAGTGAAAATACCACGCAGCCCACAATGCAAGAGCCGATTGATACGCACGACTTTAAGTTGTGTTGATCGGCTGGCCGGAGAACAGCAAGGAGATTTGGGGACTTAAATCATATGACATAAACAATGGCATTAAACCCCTATCCTGGGGAAAGCATCCGTGGCCAGGATACCTACTGGGCTATCCGGCTTTTTAGCAATTGATTTCAAAGTTTGTAAACAAGTGAACTGCTGAGTTTCCATTTCCAACTCAGCTTGCGTACTGCTGACTTTAAAGGTTTAATAAAGCCCAAACGACAATAAACTGCTTGCAGGCCAGCGTTCAGAGTTTCAATTACAGGGGGACATGAATGCAAGGAGAGCAGAAAGCCACTGATCCCAAATTCCCACAGGCAACCCTTGGGCTCTCAGGTGACCTCTGTCAAAGTATCTCTGAATCATATTCTATGAATCAAACCCCAGCCTCTTCTAGGCGACTATTTCACTCTGACAACTGGTCACTCTCCAATAATCATCATGAAAAGGGAAAATAAATGGATCACAGAGAGTGGGTGAAATAAACCAATTATTATACAGTGAGCAAAACACTCTCTAGAATAACTGGCTGATCTCAGTTGCTAAAGAATAACAGAGTTAGCTGACTTGGCCAGTGTCACGGTAACTGGTTTATTTAGCTGTATTTATAATAATAACCAAATGATTTTTGCTTTCTTTCTCTAGAATTATAACAACAGCTGTTTGCTTTTTCCAGTGCCTATAGAATAACTAGTCTCCTTCACTCACGCAAGATAACGCTCAGGACAACGCTAACATCTCGCCGAGAATAATGAATTTCTTTGATGTGTGAAATAATTGTAACTGGCCTATTTCACTCACCCGATTGAACAGAAACTGGTGTCCTCAGCTCTGTGCGATAAGAAGCAGGGTCTTTTGCTAGCTTATTTCACTCTCTCTACAATAATTGGTTTCTTTCCCCCAACAACCACAACAGGGTGACCAGATGTCCCGGTATTTGGGACTTGGTCTTATATCGGATTCTATTACTCGCCACCGATTTTTCACACTTGCTCTCCTCCGCTCACCCTAATCCACAACCCACTCCCCAGAAATTGACAGATCTGAAATTGACGGTAGGTCCTGCTGTGGCCTCCGGGACCCTAGTCTCTGAGCGCCCCCGGGGGAATCGCGGAAAGGCACTTACTTGGGTATCCCACGGCGGAGTGGAGCAGGTCCATGCCCGGTCCCGCTAGGGTTAACCCATTGACTGCGTAATGAGGCTGCTTCATATAGGACATCATGCTCAGGAACTGGCGATCCCGAAGGGGCTCCTTCTCCTGTCGCCCACGCTAGGTTATTCCAATCCACTCAGCCGCCCAGGCTCCCTGCACAGTGGGGAGAGGAAAAGACACACCCAGAAATTGTGGGCACCCTCCTCTAAAAGCGGCCAGGGGGAGCTGAGGGAACGGCTCATCCAATGGTGAGAAGGCAGCATGGGGACTTCACACCTTCAAGGGACCAGGGTTGAAGGAGACTTTGGTTAACCCTTTAATCCACACTTCCCTTCCCATTAACTCAATCAAGCCCAGCAAATCTCCCCGCCCTCCCCCGCACTGGGCCAAAGACCAGCTGCTGTGGGCATGGGGCAGGAGAAGGGGGTGGCTACAGGCAAGAGACACAAAGAGGCATCTCCGGAAAGGTGAAGGAACATCAGTCCATACAGCACCAGTTAAGTCGACCCCTATAAGAAAGAAGGACTCCGGTCAGTTTCCATTCAGTAGGGTGGGAACTTCTGCACAGTCCAGTTCTTTTGAGGTTTAAATCACAGATCTGCTGAAGAAGTGTGGGGGAAGCGTAGGGGCGGGTTGGGTTTTTGGCTGATTGTATCAGGCCAGATCCTCAGCTGGTGTGAACCAGACCAGATTTGCTCGTTAACACCAGCTGAGGGTCTAGAACTGGGATGCAGCTGTTCCGATTTAGGCCAGCTGGGGGTGTGGGCCCAGGATCATTGGGGCTTCCAGGGCATAGGCTAGTGAAGAAATGTACAAAGTTGGAAGATCAGGATTTTGCTAACAGAATAATTTCATGTGGTCAGGTGACCAGAGCGAGACCCTGTGGGGTGGGACCAGTTCCCTAGGGGACAGGGCCCTGGATGGAGATGCTGAAAACCTGGTTCTAGTCCCAGTTCTGCCAGTGAACTGATGTATAAGTCGCTGCCCCATTTAGTGCCTCAGTTTCCCCTCCCACTCCTTGTCTATTGTGATTGTCAGCTCTTTGGGGCACGGATTGTCTGTCACTCTTTGTGCAGTATCTGGCACGATGGGGCCCTGATCTCGGTCGGGGTCTGGGCAGCGCCTGGCACAACAGGGCCCTGATCTCACTCGGGGTCTGGGCAGTGCCCGGCACGACAGGTCCCCAATCTCGCTCGGGGTCTGGGCAGCGCCTGGCACAATGGGGCCCCGCTCTCGGTCTGGGCCTTTAGGGGCCAGCATAATACAAATAAATCAGTTCCATGCCAAAGAACCCTCGGGCAATCAATCTAAGAAGAGCTCTCTGTGAAAGGCAGCTGGTGTCAGGCTATCGACAAGGCCCCACTACCGCTGGTCTTCCCTTAGAATATATTGCCAAAATGCCCATCCTGGCCCACCCCACGTTAATTTCCCCCCAAGAGGTAGCAACTTTGGGAGCCCTCGTGCGGCTGAACCTTGAGCATTTTAGAGTCATCTGCTCGGAGCAGATCTGATCGTGGCAATGCTGCTTACGTAGGCGGTTTTGGTCTAATTCCTCACCCAGTCACACTGTCACTGACACGG